TGCTGCTGACGTCAGCGCCCCTGGTTGGAGAGCTCCGCGATGCCCCGCCTTGCACTGGGCGCCTCTGATTGGACAGCTCTCTGGGCCCCGCCCCAGCCCTAGGACTGTTCTCTGGGCACCCACCCCCGTCTCCCCGGGATTGGGTCGTTCCCTCGGACCCGCCCTCTGCCGCTTGAGTGACAGGCACATCGCGAACACCCCTGGCGGACCCACCTGCCGGGGACATTCGCTCCCTCTGCGTCCTTGGCCAGGTGTGCGCGAGAATCGCCGGCTCAGTTCTCCCTCGCCCGCCCCGCGACCCCTGGTCGGGGCAGGATGGGCTGACGTGGTCGGGTGGGCTGGTCCACGAGGTCCCCGGGGTCTGTGCTCCGTGTTTCAGAGCCGGACGCTGGGCCGTGACATCCCAACGCTTGACCGCGGACGCAGTAGAGAGCTGCTGGGTCCTCCCTGCCCGGCGCGGCTGGGGCTGGACACCAGGAGACCCCCCCCCAACTCCCACCCCAGCCCTAGCAGGGGTCGGGACCTCTTTTCCAAACAACCGCAAGATATCAGCTGCTCATTAAAATTCTCGGGGTCCCTTTTTACGCTGCGAGAAAATGTTTTTCAGATCAGTTTTTTTCGTGGTTCCCCAAACAATTCTGAACATTGAAAGGCTGTGATATCGCTCAGCAACAGGGATGCACCTGATTACTGTCATGGCCCGAGCCAGCAATCGGCTGCTTCCCTGGCAGTCAGTCAATCACATGCCAGAGGCAGGAAGCTGGGAGAAGGAGTGATATTCTGACGCCATGGGATCAGGGAACAGGCTGTGTATGCACCCCAAATCTGTTTGCTCAGTTTCCATCCAGTAGTTATAATAAAACAGACAGTTTCTTTTCTTGAGTTGAAGTCTCACCCTGTTGCCCAGGCTGGAGCGCAGCACACTTAAGGCCACCGTAGCATCGACCTGCTGGGCTCAGGCAATCCTCCCACCTCAGCCTCCCGAAGAACTGGAACCATAGGTGTGCACCACCATACCCAGCTAGGTTTATTTTATTGTAGAGATGAGATCTCACCAAGTTGCCCCGACTAGTCTCGAACCCCAGGGGTCAGGCAATCCTCTCGCCTCGGCCTCCCAAAGTGCTGAGATGACAGGCGTGAGCTACTGTGCTCGGCTAACATACAGTTTTTTCCTCACTATTGATTAATAATGACCACGTGTCTTATGACTATGCCTCAGTTTATTTCTTAATCAGTGTTTAGACCCCAGTGACTGTCACAAACTGGCACTCAGAGGACATTCATCCTGTCACGCTTTTAAGTTACAATTAACGCAATGATTTGGGACTACATACTTTCTAGTTGGTTTTAGTTTTGGTTCACAAGGCTCAATTAAACATTATGCATAATAATAATATAAAGAGATGAGAGAAAGCTGTTGCCATCTAGAGACAAAGGGAACAGATACATTTCTGGGTCTTAGAAAATTTCAGCAGAGCCCATTTCTTTTTTTTTTTTTGAGTTGGAGTCTCACTCTGTTACCCAGACTGGAGTGCAGCGGCCGCTCCCGGCCACTGCAGCCTCGACCTGCTGGGCTCCGGCGATCCTTCCACCTCAGCCTTCCAAGTAGCTAGAATTACAAGCACGCGCTACCACGCTGGGCTAATTTTTGTTTTATTGTAGAGATGAGGTCTCGCCTACCCAGGTGGGTCTCGAACCCGCGGGCTCAGGCAATCCACTCACCTCAACCTCCCAAAGGTGCGGGATTACAGGCTGAGCCACCAAGCCCGGCAGGACAAGGGTCTTAAAGTGCAACAATCTGGGCAACCCCCTTGGGTCCCCTCCCACTGTGGGAGCTTTTCTGTCCTCTCAATAAATCCAGCTTTCTCAAAAAAGAAAAAAATCCAACAATCTGCTTTAAAGTGACAGACATGGCTGGGCCTGGTGGCTTATGCCTATAATCCCAGCATTCTGGGAGGTGGAAGTGAGAGGATTGCCTGAGCCCGCAGGTTCAAGACCAACCCAGGCAACTTGGCGAGACCTCATCTCTACCATAAATCAAAAAATCAGCCAGGCATGGTAGCGCACGCCTGTAGTTCCAGCTACTTGGAAGG